CCCCCCCCCCCCCCCCCCCTTTCTCCCCACTCTTCCGCACAGCTGCGAGCGATCCCACCCCTACCTCCGTGAGCACGAGGCCCTCTGAAAGCGTGCGTAAAAAAAAAAAGCCAAGTTTATCATCTCGAGCGCTTGGCTGAGCCGAACGCGCACAGCCAGCCCCGTAATGGATTAACGCACCGGGCAACAAAAAAACACGCACCCCGTGAGCTCCAGATGTCAGACGCGCGTCGGAAGCAAACCTCCCCCCCCCCACACACCCACCCACGACGAGTGAGTCACCGACTAAAGTGGCAGAATAAAGCGAGCGCCGGTGCGGACGGGCAGATTCCGTTCAGCTCCTCTCCGGTACTTTAAAAAGGACTCCTCAGCTGCTGTTTTTTTTATATATATATGTAGAGTAGGACTGTTGGAGCTCGAGAAGCCGGTACCTGATTATGGAGAGCGCGCGGGACACGTCCGGACCCCGGTGCGCATCTGCGTAAAAAGCGCAACGCTCAGACGAGGCTTTCCAGCAAAAGTTTGTGGCAGACGAGGAAGAAAAGGCAGTGTGGTGGGGAGGGGGGTTAAAAAAAAAAAAAAAGGAAAAGAAAAAGCGCACAGGAGAGCTCCTCTGAAGCGGCGAGTTCACGCGGCGAGAACCAAACAGAGTTGAAGTTTTTTTTGGGCCAGTCTTCTCTGGAAGCGCCGAACGTCTGAGAAGATGCGTCGAGAGGTGGTGAGGAGATTTCAGATGCTGCTCGTGCTCTGGTCGATACTCCTCGTCACCTTGGGGGCAGGGTTTCCAACCAAACACAAGAGTTTTCCTCATAAAGTAAGTAATATTCCTTTATTTCTTTATATGTGTTGTCTTTCTTTCTTTGGCTGAAAAGTTTAGGAAAATTGCTTTAATGAAATTCTATACATCCTACAAATCCCACCTGCTGCAAGTAAGTATATAATTTTTAGAACTTTTTTTCCAGCTTGCATGTGCTTTTGTTCTTTTTCTTACTTTAATAGTTTTTTCCGAACATTCAGATGCCCTTTTCCCCTGATTATGTCACAACATTACTAACTACATTGATTGTAACGTTGCCCTAAGAACAGCAGCTTGGTCCCCGTATTTAAAAGAAAAAAAGAAAGGGGGGGGGGGGGTAAAAGATCAGATGAAAGGGCTTCAGCATACAGGGCCTAAAGAACATTGCTGGCGTTTAAGATGCGCTTCTTTCTCTTTATTTCCATTCAAATGTCAGATAAAAGGGAGGCCTTTAACGTAAATGATTCTATTTCCACATCGGCACGCTCCGCTTTTCTCTCCATGTATAGTAAAGCTTTGCCCTCACCGGGCACACACCCTTCTATCGTAAATCCAATCTCCCTCCACGCGCACGCTGCAGAGTGTGTGGCGCGTCTCGGGGGGGATGTTTGTGTTACACGCAGACATATTTGGAAATCAAAGTCTGTTTGTGTGTGTGTGAGTGTGTGTCGGGGTTTGGCTTTCGCCTTTGAACTCCCCATCTTGTGTGGCCTCCCATGGATGCCCTGTTGGGACTTTTTCTCTCATCGTCCGTCTGATTGATGTCAGAGCAAGAAGAGAAGGAGAGAAAACACCGGGGGGAAGGAAAGAGGGGGATCTGGCCTCGGCCCGTGCCACCGCTGTGACTTTTTGTGTACCTTTTTGCCTGCGACCTGCTGGGTGTGTGTCCATATGTGGTGGATGGCAAGTGGAGATTCAAAGACAGGGGGGAGGAGGAGGAGGGTCAGAAAAAGAGTCCAGTAACTAGATGCTTATGTAACCAGAATAAGGCGAGCCCCCTGGCATCTCTCATGGTGGAGCACAGGTCATGTGTCATTCATCTGATTGTTTACGTTGGCTTTTTTTTTTTGTGTGTGTGTGTGTGTTAATGTGGAATTTCCTGTTTTTGGCTTAACCCACATGTCTCTGCGAAGAAGAGAGGGAGGAGGACTATGTGGAGGTGGCCTCTTTCCCAAATATCAGGACCTGTTTGCCCCGCTTGCTCCCTGCTTTGTGCCCCCCCCCCACCGCCCTGCGTTTGTTGTCCTGTTTCCATCGGAAAAAAAGGCGGCGATCAAAGAGCGGCCATAGTTTATTGTTCTTCTGTAATGGTTTGGAAACGGCCAAGTGCAGGGCCCTTTGATATCCGCGCGCACATAAATCAGGGTCTGCCACACCGCATGCCTTCCCAGCCTGTCCCCCCCCCCCACCCCCACCCCCTCTTCCCTCCCTCAATCCCAGCGGATATCATCCCTAGACCTCACCTCCAGAGAGTTCTCCTCCCTAACCTGAATGTGTGTCACCGGCCCTGAGCGGAGGCTGAAACGGGGCCACCGTTGGACAGCAGCCCGTCCACAGCCCGGTCAGGCCGAAGACCCGACTCCATCCGTGTAAACCCCCCCGCCCCCCCACTGTTAAACACACTGCATGCCATCAGCCATCGGGGCCTTTGATCAGAGGAGCCCCACTACTGAGAGGAGAGCTGGATCAGAGAGAACAAGGGGGAGGAAGAAAGAAGGAGGAGAGTGATATACAGGGCAAAAGAATACAAGATCCAGATGTGAAACAACACAAGATGAGGAGGGTGTGAAAGTATGTGGCCTCTCTCATGACTTTGGACTTAGTGATTTTTTTTTTGTGCGAGCGTGTGTGCGTTTGCGTGTGTGTGTTATGATATATGTGTGATGGTTGGGATCACTGCTGGGCCGATTCGATGGTGATGCACCCAGACCTCAGACGGATTCATCCATGTTTTGTTTTTTGTCTCGGACCAAAGATCAGATCTATCATAAAGGCCAGTATTTTCCTTGGTGTTCAGAGAGAGAACGCTAATCTTTCTCTTTTTTTTAGATTTTTTTTTTTTAAACGATTTATTGACATGAATTCCACAGTTAATTCAATCAAAGATCTTTTTTTTTTTTCCTTTTACTTTATAATGCATAGCAAGTTGGATTTATGTTTTCTCAGTTAGCCAGCCACTGTAAAATTGATGTAAAAACGACGTAAATGATTCATTTGCAAATCGTTAATTTTTTTCGGCCTAGAGCTTGAAATGCCTAGCGATAGTGAAAAATGTCCTTTCTGGGCCAAAAAGTCGTTCTCGGTTGTAATGTTTTGTTTGAACGACGGACCCAAATCGACGGACTAAGTGATTCAAAGGAAAAAAACAAAAAAAAAACAAGGCGTTACTCACAGCTCCGACTTCTTTTCCCTAAAAAGGACTCGCAAAACTCGCAATTGTTGCAGATATGTCTTGCGTTTGTTCTAGCTGAATGATTGAAACCCCTCACCAGCACGAGGCCAGTAGGTTGGACTAACCTACTCGAAGGAGCAGGCTCGGCCAAAAAAGTCTTATTATGCCTCTCGTCTGGGTTTCGTGAGTGAACGGGTTGAAAGTTGTCACAGAGAGCCGGAATGATTTTGCAACTGTTTTCACTGGATTAGCTTCAGTGAGTCTGCTTTAGATGAAACATCCAGCGGGTCACTTTGGATTTACTGCACTTCACATCGTGTTTGCTCGAACTTTCTCCAAGCTGTGTATTTGGTTACAGAGGCGGAGAGAGGTGGGGGGGGGGGCTTAATATTCCTAAAAGGTTACCTGTTTGTCACCACCAGTTTGCAGATATGAGAGGAGAAGGCCCCAGCTCGATCATTTATCATGCCTGACAGGCTTCCCCTCTGTTCAGGCTTCACGCGTCCACACGCTTAGATTTGACCAGCCACACGGGTTCTTTATGAGACAATCCCACGCAGTCACTGAAAAGTATGCCCCGCTCCCGGGGCCAAAACCATAAATCATCAGCCGACTGGCTGTGAATTCAGACGTTTCTTCTCCTCTTTAGCCTCTCAGCTGACCCTATTTAACTGCGCCGGCCGCAAAGTGGCTCGGAGCCAACCTTAAGCGTTACGGTCCGATCGTGGGCGCGGGCCCATTTAGCCGAGGCATGAACACGAGGTAAGCGGCAGCCGAGGCTTTCCGTCCGGGTCGGACCGGTGGTGGTCCGGCCAACCGAAAATTGGCCTCTCGCTGGCCTTGTTCCAAATCCAGTAGATGTTCAGTTTAAGGTTTCCTCTTTCCCTCTGGTTAACTGTAAAAGCTGAGGGTTTGCGTGAAGCTGTGCTGTCGGCGGCTCGGCAGGTTTCTACACACTTGCATCGGCCCGGGGGTCCCACGCCTCCCAGGCCCTCTCATTAAAGCCAAAAAAAAAAAAGAGGATTCCTTTGGCACAGGAGCCCCTTTGTCCACAGCCCTGGATGCCATGACTGTTGTGGGAAAAAAAAAGAAGAAAAGAAAATGAAATGAAGGCTGGATGATCACTTGGCCGGTGAGTTGGACGCCTCATGGCTATTTGGAACTGCTGACTAAGCTGTGGACGCTATCGTGGTTTCTCCATGGGAGTACGACACTAATCGCAATCATTCCACTCTTAAACCGAATATAATTAGCCCCATAGGCAGTCGGTGGTTTTCCAATGTTTGTTTTGATTTCTGTCTTTGTTAATTCGTCCAGGATGGCCGTCGCAGACACTACAACCAGGCTTAGAGACGTCTCTTCGGACTGTTTCCCATAAGTCATTTTTCGTCTCCTCAACCGCGGAGAGAAAATCTTGTTCCGTCTCACTCGGCTCACTTGTGTACCTGTGCTTTCCACCAGGCTCACCGCCACCCGGGTCACCCTGGCGGGGTCCAGTATGACCCCGAGGCTTTGGAGCAGCAGAACCAGGTCCAGAGCCTCCTGCCCGAGCCCCACAGCCACCAGAGGAGGTGGTCCCATCCCCAGCACCGCTCTGTGGGGGTCCTTCCTCAGCCCGAGCCCGAGGAGGAGACCAAACCTTTCGTCTTGGACCTGAGCAACTTCCCGGACCTGGCCAATGCCGACATGAACTCGCAGAACCCAAACATTCAGGCAAGTGGGGGTGGGGGGTGGGGGGCAATAAGGAGCTGCCTTGCTGTGTCTTAGTATTACAGTTTTGAAGATGTGTCTTTTATAGTACCGATTCCAAACTAAGTAAGAAAGTCTCTCTTCAATCCCGGAGAGCCCGTGTCTTCTTCGGCTGTCTCCATCATGTTAGAATGTCCAAAAGAGGGACCTGTAATCATCATGTCTGTTAGGCCATCGTTCCCCTCCATTAAGCCTAGGACATTTAAACCGTTTAACTTGTTCTCTTCGGCTCTAGTCGTAGCAACCAGGATGTGGTTAGGGAGGCATAATGAATCCCAGCTATGTCTACACCACGTATGAGGCTTAAATCTCTGATAGTTTGGAGGGGGGTGGCTGGGGTGTCCCGTTGTAGCTAAAAGACACCAAAGGATGCGCACACTGATACGAACACCAGAAGCTCCTCTAGATTTATTTCAGAGCGATTCCAGGAAACACAGTTTGGGTCTGTAGTCTCTGCGCTTCCCGGATTTCGCTTCGCCTGGAAGTGCACCCTTCAGAAGTAGCCTAGCATCTAAGATGAGTCATGTCGAGGTAATGGGAGGCAGTTACCCAGACTAAGTAGTCCATGTTCTCTCCCTGAGAGGAGCTTTGTGTCGGCTGAGCGCTCACGCTGGCGGGCTGACTCAGACCCAGGGCGAGGACCCGCTCGCCCAGACGCTCCTCCGGGGATTTGACTCGGCTGATTTCCCCGAGCAGGGTTTGCAAAGTGAAGCGCGAAAGCTGCTAGCAAGTATCTGCGGCGCTTGACTTTTCTGAGTGTCTTTGAAGGCGTGGTCGCTCAGGTGTACTTTAAGTCCTTGGTTGTTGTTTTTTTCCTCCAAGGTGAGCAAATGCGAACGCATCCCGGTGGTGTGGGCCGAGGTGCAGAGGCGCGAGACTAACGGGCGGCTTCTCTTGTCCCGCGTAGGTCACCATAGAGGTGGTTGACGACCCTCAGATGGAGGTGGAGATGGACCTGGCCAGCGAAAAGGACTGGCTACCCTCCGCCCCCTCGTCCACGGTGGACTGGCTCGGGGGCAAAAAGCTTTTCTGGCCCCTGTTCTGGAGTTACACCGACTCCAGCGAGGACAGCAACAGTCGGTCAGGGGCGGAGGACACCGGCGAGGAAGAGGGGGAGGAAGATTACTCTTTGGATTATGGGAGCGAAGAGCCCTTGCCCAGTGGGGTGGGCGGGGACTGGGACACCCGGTGGAACGAGGGCTGGGATCCAATGCAGAGCTACTTTGGTAAGTTCTGCCAAATGGCGCCGCCGGTCCATGTGTCGGTATCGCTGTAGCATAGCTGTCCTGTCCGGTACAACTTCATCATCACTGCGCGTTCTTTAACAGACGACTAATAAAAAATCCAGGATTAAACAGATTATCTATCATATCGACCCCGATTAAAGGGGAAGAAATGCAGGAAATTCAGTGTGGCTCATGGAGGCTTCTCAATGGCTGCCTTCACAGAGAACCCGGCCGTGCCAGCAATACGAGGCAGCGTGAGCACTCGACCGCGAGGGCATTGTAAGTTAGGGGCACTTTGAAGTCGACACTGGTGGTGCTGGTCGCAGAGGCCTGCCTTTTGAAGACGGGGCTGGATGCGCTCGCTAATGGCAGCGTGAGGCCGGCCCCGTTTCCTGGGACAAAACATCCCTCTGCTCGCGGACAATTAGAGGGCAGATTGGGAACACAGAATGACAGGGGCCGTTCCGCCGGCCCTTTCATCCTACCCCGGGACCCCTCGGGACCCCCCTCCCACCCGCCCTCCTAACTCAGAGCCTGGCGACTCTCGCTGCCCTCCGCGGCTCAGCCTTTTGAGCCAGTTCAGGAATTTTGAAGGGGTCTGAGGGGAGCGCATAGCTCGTGTTGTGTCTAAGCTCCACACAGACAACTTATTCAGTGGTAAAAATAGTAAATAATGAGAGAGGAGGGCGGCACGGTGGTGTGGTGGTTAGCGCCACAGCAAGAGGGTTCTGGGTTCGAGTCCTGGGGGAACCAGGACCTTTCTGTGTGGAGTCTGCAGGTTTTCCCTGTGCCTGCGTGGGTTCTCTCCGGGTTGACCGGTTTCCTCCCACCGTCCAAAAACCTGCACGTTAGGTTGATTGGACATTCCAAATGTCCCTTAGGAATGTGTGAGTGTGCGTGGTTGTTGGTCCTTGTGTGTCTCTGTGTATCCCTGCAATGGACTGGTGGACCGTCCAGGGTGTGCCCCGCCTCTCGGCCATTGACTACTGGGATAGGCGGTTATCGACAAAGAAGAGGCCTACTGTAGATGCGTGCACAGTCATGGAGGTCCGAGGCGTTTGCAGGTGGTGCAAACTGTTTTTTACTCCAATTCCCTTAGCCATTTGGCAGTTGCTCGCCTTTTATCCATTTGACCTTTTTGCAAAACAAAGGAGCCATCAAAGGCCAACAATGCGCCTGAAGTGGTTACGTCTAAAGACCTTGAACATAAATCAAGGGTGCCGACCTTAACGTTTTCTGTAATTACGGTCCTACTGAGACCTCGTGCCCGTGTGGCCACATGGCGAGCTGGCACTGCCCGCAACGTAAAATTGGATTCTCGCTACACCCAAGCTGGTATTTCTGCACCCACCTCGCCTTTAATCAGGAAGGACTTGTTCTCAGTGTTATTAACACCACAAGGAAATGTGGTGCGGAGGCGGACAGCCACAGCCCAAGCTTGCCTCCCTACTAATTTGACCGAAGACTTGCTTAAAATGAACATGTGTTTGCATGGGAAAAGGTTGGATTACAGGAGCCCCTGTCAAAAACAAAACAGCCCAGACTGCCCTTTTCAAACCTCTGCCCAAACGCTTCCTGCAAAATCAGTCAGTATCTTGGTATTCCTGTCCTCCCTGCAGAAAAGGATGCAGATGAATGGACTCCCTGGTCTCCCTGCTCGGTGACGTGTGGACACGGGGAGAGGAAGAGGACCAAGTCCTGTGGCTACTCCTGCACTCTGACAGAAACCTCTAAGTGTGACCTGGATCCTTGCCCTGGTGAGATTATACCTCAGCGAGAGGATTACTAGAAATGATGTTTAGATCTCCGTGGTCTGATCCAAAGGTTCCTAACGCATCGGTGCTCTGCTCTTTACAGGGGAAGTCAATACAGTGGCCGAGCCTTTTCCTTTTGAGATGGAGAATGGGACAGAGCCATTTGGAACAGGTGATTTTTTTCGTAAACTTGTTGCTGTATCGCCCTCCATCACGTTCAGGTAGTTGGCGAATGCCAACAGGGGCCCGGTGTGCTCGGGGCTTGACCTCCAATGTGCTCTTTCCCTCCAGATGTGGACAGCTGTGAGAAATGGCTCAATTGCAAGAGCGAGTTCCTGCAGAAGTACCTGCACCAGGTGTTGTCCGAGCTGCCCGGCTGCCCTTGCTCTTACCCGGCGGAAGTGGCCTACACCGTGGTCAGCATCCAGGACGAGACCCGCGGCCGGCCGTTCCGCTGGCGCGACGCCAGCAGCCCCAGGGAGCGGCTGGACATCTACAAGCCCTCGGCGCGCAGCTGCATCCGCTCGGCGCTGTCCGGCGACTCGTCCACGCTGGCGGCGCAGCACTGCTGCTACGACGAGCGCCGGCAGCTCATCACGCGGGGGAAGGGCGCCGGCACGCCCAACCTGATCAGCACCGAGTTCTCGCAGGAGCTGCACTTCAAGGTGGACGTGCTGCCCTGGATTCTGTGCAAGGGGGACTGGAGTCGCTTCCACGCCGTGCGGCCCCCCAACAACGGACTGGGCTGCCCGGAGAACCCCCACCAGGACGTGTTCATGAACGAACTGGAGGAGGCCAGGGAGTACTGAGGGGCCGCAGCCAAAACCAGCCAGAGGGTCCGAGGGCCCAATCCTAACTTGAGACCTTAAAAGTCACCAAGTGTTTCCTAAAAACAAAGTATCAGCTATTTACCATGTATTAGTGACTCTATCGTTCTCAGGTTAGGATTTGGCTAATTGTCTGGATATCGGGCTCTATCGACTGATTCAACGAAGGGGAGGAGAAATTTGGAGTTTTGTCCCGCTGCTTGCCAACCTCTTACACATCTGGCACCATATGAAATGCTTTCTTTTTATATCCACTCCACTCTCCTGGGTGTGTGTGTGTGTGTGTGTGAGCACGACGTCTCCCCTCTGGCTCGCGCAGTCTGTATCCTGAGGTCTGTTCTATGAACTGTTCTATGAATACAGGCCGGTTAAATTTGAGGGGAGGGACAGCCAGAGTCCAGCAGATGACAATCCTCACTATGCTGCTATTTCTTAAATCCCTCAGGCTTTACGAAGGATGGTAGGGGGACAAAACGTCAGTAGATCCAAACATGCACACGGCTGGACTGGGGTAAACATAAATGAGAATCACAATCACGACATACATCCTCAAATTGTCGGTCATCTCGTATGGAAAAATAGACGTACACGCTTGCGTAACTAGGTTACCTTCTTCTTCTTTCCCTGCTGCCAGGAGGGGACTTTTTACCAGTTACACCTACCCTCTGCCGCCCCTCCATCATAAATAAGTGAACAACCCACTCCTCCTTGGGGCTAACATTCAGATCTAACTGATACGAAAGATAAGCAAACAGAATCTACTGGCCTCAGCACCTTAGACTTAGTTACCAATACATTTTTAAAAAGCCCTCCTTAGATTGTATAACGATGCCTGCAATGGCAACCGAACCTGTATTCAGTGACAAGTCAGTTTGATTCTAGAGCCAGTGTCAGTGAAAGGAATTCAGACCAGTTTTGGTCTGTACATCCTCATTTATGTCTGCTGCTAAAACTCAGTTATTCAGTTCCCCAAAAGTTATTGTCAAGCAGGTATAGTCCATCCCTCCTGCCCGTGAACTAATTTAGCAGGTTAGGGTTAAGGTTAAATCCATTTCAGGAACTTTGTTTAACTTCTTTGTTTTGCACAATGTCAGATTATCTGACAATGAATTGAATTCCTATTGGGTATTTATTTTGACCGGGTCCCAGCTAAGGTTTGTCCATTTTTACCCAATAAAGGAAGGAAAAAAAGAATTTTAGTTGGCGATTGTTCCAACTAGGCAGCCCAGTAATTGGTCTTAGGAGCTGCTGTCCACAGATTATGGGCTGTTTGTCCTCATATACACAAATATGTGTATTTGGACCTGGCCTTAAAGCTGACCGGCTCTCTGTTGCAACGCCAAACTACCAATCCAGCTCTGTACATTTCTTTTTTTTTTGTATGTTTTTTTGAGGCGGGGTTTCTTGGACCTTTGCTCTTGTAGTCATTAATCTTTAAACCCAAACTTCTTCAGGATTTGGGATTTTAAAACTTCTTTTTTTCTCCCCTTGTCAGTCTTACTTGGGAGTATAATGAAAATCACCTCCAGGCAGTAACGCATGGGAGAAAGGCCCATTTGATTTAAAAATTGATGTCGCATTGATTGACCTCATGTCTTTCCTCACGTTTCCTTTCGCAGCCAGGAAAACGTGTGATCCGGGTGCCAAAGAGATAAAAATCAGACTATTGGTGCCAGTGTAAATCCAGCCTCCGAGTCTCCGAGTTGCAGATGTGGGGAGAGAACAAGCTCTGCTGTGATTGGATTGGGCTCATAGACGTGTCTCTACAACGTTCTCAGGGGGACTAACTAACCATGAAAAACCAGTTTGTTCATTTACCTCGAAAGTGGAGCGCTTCTGGACCTTCTACAAAGGGTTTTTTTGGGCTGAAGATTAATTGGCTGTGTAATCCAGATAGGAAGTGATGAACAGATGTCGCTCTTGTGGGGGTTTCAGAAGGCAGGTGAAACCTTTTACAGCCAGGCGGTTGTTGACGCATTGGGTGGGAGGAGCGTGCTGCTTTTAAGCGGTGGGTTTATGGTCTCTGGGTTAAAGCACAGAACTTCATTGGATAGAGAGGACATGACTTCCTAAATACCAATATCCCTGCCTGACACAGGATACTGGTACTGGGAACAGAAGTCGGTTGCCATCACCAAATATTTCAGGCTTTAGTCATCATGTGTGGTGCACGGGGCTGAAACGCCTGATGCATAACCTCTCGTCAGGATACATTTTAAGATTTGTTCGTTCTTGGAAGTGCTCGTCAAAATTCCAGATCCAAGAGACGACTAAAGGACTTGTCCTTTCTATCCAATTTCAGTCTTTGAAATATTCGCTCTGAACCTCATTTCAGGAATTTTGCCTCCAGATGCAAGGGCGCGTTTGAATGATGGAATTTTAAAGGAAGGCACTTTATTTTTGCCGTTGTTGTTGTTGATGACAGTGTTATTGTGAAGGGAAGCTTACCAGAAATGCTGCATTGTTACATGAAGGTGCGTAAACATGCAAGTGTTGAGCAAAGCATGATCTTTTTGTGGTTTCTGGACTCTAGTATTACATGTATGGTGTTGTACAGTATTTATTTGTCTGTTCTCTTTTGTTTTTTCTTTTTTTTTTAAAGTTTGCTGAAGCTTTGAAATGACTATACTCAACGTGGTGCACTAATCGGACTGAAGATTGAAGGCACCCATTGACAAAGGGAAATCTTTCACCTCATAACTCTTCCTACAGCAACAGCAGGTGTCTGTGTTTCATTCTGTTTTGGACTGCGATGCTCTATAAATATGTTGTTGCAATTATACTTAAGAAATATATATATAAATATATATATATAAAGACTTTGCATTCATCATCTGACTCTTGACTGTGTCGTTTCTTTTCTATTTTGTATTTTTTTGTGTAATGGAGTCAGGTTAGCAACTTTTTTTTAGGTCTCCAGATGTGCCAGGTTGGTAAGATTCAAAGTGGAATAAAGCATTTTTGCAAATGTATTTTCAGCTACAGTTGGAAGAGCTGTTAAGAGAAATATAGGCATAAAAATCTTTTAAATTCAGGCTCCATAAAAGATGAGAGAGACGTCAATATGATGATGAACGCTCCATTCAAAAGGTCAGACCAAAATTTTATAGGCTGTTGTACATATGTATTGTTATAGTTAGGACCTACCAATATCCAAGACTACCATAAATAGAGGGCTGCATGAGAGTACTTACAGAGGGTTCACTGTAAGGGCAAAGCCCCTATAAGCCTGAAGAATATAGAGGGGCCAGATTGGACTTTGATAAAAAAATAAATCAATTGTACAAAACCAGCACAGATCTGGAAAGATGTTCTTTGGACAGAAGAGACTAAGATCAACCTGATGAATGATGACAAAAAGCGTAGAGAGGCTGTGGAAAAGCTCACACCACCTCATCTGTAAAACACAGCAAATGCAGTGTGATGGCTTGGGTGGGTTCAGCTGCCAGTGGCCCAGGGAAATAAGTGTTTATTGATGAAGTGACACAGGACAGAAGCCACCTGATGAATTCTGAGGTGTGTGGAGGCCCACTGTTGGCTCAAATGCAGCAAAATTCTGTAAAACCAACTGGGTGGCTTTATAATACAGATGGATAAAGACCCAAAACCTGTCGCCAAAGAAAACCTGAAAGCAAAACAATTGGAATATCCTTGAAAGGCTAATTCATTCAACCAAATGAGCGTGCATTTCACTTGTCTCATAGGCAGAAAGGCCCACAAGAAAGAAAAAATTGCAACTGAAAGCTGCTGGCGTAAAGGCCTGGCAGGGCTTTACAGAGTAGGAAACTCTAAAGAAACGCCTTCACTCACAATCACCATTACTGTGATTTCTAGGTTGATCTATGTCTGCCCCCATAATGTCTGAGGGTATATAGTCTTTCCAGGGGATTAAATAACAGTACGATTAAAAGTTCAAGGGTCAAAGTAATGCAAATCCATAGGCTTAGGCAATCCCACTAGTCCTCCCAGATACTCTAATTCCAGCCTATTTCTCTCCTGTTGTCCCCTTTGACCCGAGAGAGGAGTGGTGAAAAAACATGGCAATGCATTAGCAGTGAAACGTTAGGCTGAAAGCGGTGTGCAATTAATGGGTCGGACCAATATGCAGAGGTCCATCTATCAGTCAGCGCGGTGAGCTTTCGATAAGGAGCTTGCTGGGTGCCCCTGTGGTTCCTTAGTCGACTATAGATGGGGGTAGGGGGGGGCAGACACATGTTGACCACATTGCGGCCACAGAGTAACAGATAAATAACCGCAGATGTGCAGACAGGGGAGGAAGCCGGGGCGGGGGGAAACAGAGGAGAGAGAAACTGCGAGGGAAACTTAAAAGGGAGGGGAGGTTTCTTCAAACTGCCGGCGAAAGATGCTATCGAGGTCGGGGGTTTGGCGGTGAATTCTCCTCACGGCTAGCAGAGGAAACGTGCGTCGGGACACTTGCGGGAGAGTTCAGGCAGAGCAGCGATCCTTGTGCTCCTGTTTGGTTGGAACGATTTTACACATAAAGAGACCCCGGCCCTGGCAGTAGACGCGTTATGTGATTCACTCCTTCAGCCGTAGCGCCGGTGGCCCAGGCCTCATGCCTGGCCGCGGTGGTTAGCAGACCTGTTTGCTTTCGTCGGTTGGCAGAAACATGAGATTTCCTCTGCGTGTGCCTTGGCTGGTCGACCTGCAAACAGCGCGGCCCTTCAAGTGGGGCGCCTCGACCCCCAACCCCCCCTCAGAGCGATCACTTTCGCACCCACAGACAAAACATCACCGGCGAGGGTTCGGGGAAGTCACAAAGACAAGTCAGTGTTGAATCAGTCTAAGAGTTGAAAGAATACCTAAAGTCCGCACACGCCAGGAAATCTATACGCAATCTTCTGGAGCTCCACATATGTGAGAATGCCAGACCATCTTAGGATCTTACGGATTATCGGAGGGCTTGAATTATCCCGTTCTCGGGCCAGCTTGAGACAAAAGAAGGCCTTGTTCTGAGATGA